GGATTGCTGGGATGTACCGCTAAGAAATGTGGCACAATCTCACCCAATGGGATTATTTCTGGAATAAGGTATTATTTGAATAATGTCACTACATCCAGGTCTGTGATACGAGTAAATCTCGCTTTTCATATGAACTGTAGTCCTTGGAGGGGTGAAATATAATCCTGAACAGAGGTTCTATTTACCACTTAAGCCCTATTTTATGGTTTAAGTGCTGACCTTGTACTGACCCTCAGCACAGGGCTGAATTTCACCCTACAGCAAAAATCTGCTGGCTAGAGCAGCCGATTAAAGAAATTTGGGCTAGGCTTTTTACTATTTGCAAGACAATGAAAACAGGCTTATTTTAGACAAAAATGTTTCTGATTTATGAGAATTTTAGTGCAGAAAGGGGCTATTTTGGAGAAAGTCTTGAGATTAGAATTTCAGTTATATTTTTGGCAGGAGAGCAAGGAAGCCATTTCATTAACTTTTCACTGGAAGTTATATATGGAGGGCATTTGTGTACACAGCTGGGCAGCATAAAACAGGAGGGCTTTGTGTGAAAATATCCTGAAATGAAATTTCATTTCTGTGCAACTTGGATCTGCGCTCCTGGGCCGCCGTGGCCAGTTTTGGATGAAGCCGTAGGAGGGCAGTATTAGGCCCTCATACATCTCCCCTTGCATTTGCAATGGGCGCAGAAATAACGAACAGATCACTGCTGGCCCCTGTGCAAAATCAGTGTCACCTTTTACAGCTTTATGTCAGTCAGATAAGCTCCTGCCCGCTCCCACGTATCCATATGGCTGTAATCATCAAGTGATACCAAGAGATTAAATGTTTGTAAGGAACACCAAAAGCCACATGCTGAGGCTGGTGTGAATTTAGCTCTGCTTTGACCTCCCTTCCCACCAGATGGCTGCTAATCTGGCACTAAATCACCACCGCGGTGGAAAGAGCCCCGGTGCATGTGGAAGAGGCAGCTCTGTGGTCGTTTCTGTGCTGTGCAAGGTGGGAACCTCCCTGAGTCAGTCCCTGGGAGTGTTATTCATCCTTGGGTACTGCGTTTCTAAAGGCATGTCTTGTGTAGCTTCCAGATTTCACAGGACCCTCTAATTACTGTGCTTGATTAGGAGCCTGCAGAGATGTATGTTTCTTGGGGTGTGATAGTCTGCTGGTTGCACATCTTGCAGGTGCCTGAAACAGGTGGGGACACAGACCCACGCAGGGGAAATTCCTTTAATATTACCTTTAAGTTATGTTGGTCGTTTTTTACACATGTATATTCATATTTTATGCACTTTGTCATTTATGTAATTTTTTTGCAGGTCAGGGCAAAACATGTATAAGTGGGGATAATGTGTGTGCTGAGGATTCCTGCTTTAGTTTTTCAGGGCAGAAATGCAGGTAACTTTGCAAATTTTCCTTTGAAAATGAGCCCATGTCTCTCTCTGCCCTGATGTTTTCTGGACATTGGCATGGGCAACTCCGTATCTCCATCCAAAACTACCTCCCATCTCCAGTGAAGATCTCTTCCCCTTGTGAATTGGCAAGCAGAGATAACTCCCTCCACTCCTACACAAAATAGGAGTCATTGTCTGGCTTTACTCCCATGTTCCAGGCTTTCCTTCAGTTGGTTCTCATCAGTGCTACGGTTGGACAAACAGAACTGCCTTTTCTTGGTGCTCGTTCATACCAATTCTGGTTGATTTGCACGTGATGGTCTGATGCATACCCTCCAAACACAGGTTTTCTCATCTATTGTGTGATCTTTGGAAATAATAGCCCCAAGGAACGTGCCATTCTATCAGAAAAGATTGCTGGTATAAATTATTCACCCTGAGACATCTTGGAATAGGACTGTGATCATTTCTTCATTCTTATTGCCAATCTCAACCCAGGGAGTCTCTTATGCTGTTGTCCAGATCCAGACCTCAGTGCTAAGGAGGTATAGGGATGTTTTAGGACTTTCTGATAGTCTGGCAAATCCAGAGCACACAATTACCAGCTTGCTTCCCTGTTTACATTATTATTATTATTATTTCATTATAGTTCTTCAACCTTCTAGATGCTGTGGAGGACCTCAGGTCCTCCATTTAAAAAGCTTTGTAAGATAAGCAAGAAATAGAGAGGGCAAATGTGCTGTTGTCTGTTAAAAAAATCAACCTAGGGCCATGATTACGTAGAATTTTCTCTCCAAGACTGTCCTCTCTTGTGCAGCATTATTTTCCCCTGTGTCACCTTTAACTTCTGTCAGTCTTCTGGTGCACTCGTGGCAGGGGTGTGGGAGCGCAACAGTGGCTGCAAATGACTTACTGAGAGGTAGAGGCATGAGAGGGACTGCGTACGATGTTCCTGCT